CACACACACACACACACACACACACACACACATGATTGTTGGTGCGGTTAAATGAGTGCGATGATGTTTCCACAATGGTGACAAATCAAACCCAGCCATATATAGGTTGTGGTTCGTTAGCAGGCGGAAAAAATAAAAATGAAAATGAACATCACGAGCGGGAGTGGTATCACTGGTATGTATGGAAAAGCGGGATTCCATTTTTCGGTGCACAGTATGTTTCGAACACTGAACGTTTATTTTTATTGTAATGTTTGTGGTAGCAAGGCAGGAAAAAAATGAACGTTGTGGAAGGCCAAGTAGTAAGTCCATTGTGTGTGCAAAGCGTTTGGGAGTGTAGGTGTGAGGGCATTTCATATCCTGTAAAAGAGAGAGCGCAGATGACGGACGAGCGCATGGTGTGTGAATGCGGTCGACCTTTCATGTCATTAAGGACATTAAACTCTCATCGCGCGATGGCATGTCCATCGTCAATGAGTCGTAGATCAAACGATGACGACAGATAGAGTGGGGAGAACAGACCCGCAGGTGAGGAACGCTCGCCGGATGGCTGGGTGTGAACATCGTCGACCTATCAGGGAATGCGAAAATGGAATGTGGTTCTGAGTAAGATCCCCCTGGCGTGCAGTCGTTCGACACATCCCGCAGACTGGCTGCGATCATGTTGTCCTCTAGGGGTGGCTTAGGGATGTTGCTCAACGACATCGACACTCTTCTGTCAGTACTGACAGATCCAAGATTCTCGCCGCAGGGAATCGTATACCGCAACAGTCGTGACTTTTTACATTGGACGAGCAGACAGGCAGAAACGAACGGGTGGCGAGAGATAGATCTCAGAAGAGATGACTGACCATCAGATGCACATGTCGTGCTCTAGTACCAAGATTGGCATACAACTTTCGCGTCACTACTCAAAGCAACGACGAAAAAGATGGAAACGGTGTCGTGTCTCTCAGCCCCCCCCCCTCGGCAGAACCCACAATACACAGCGCTCGCTCAGGTGCGTTGTGGCATCACGTACAGACCGTCATCAGAGCGCACAAAGGTGTAGATAAGAATGGCAGAACACGGTATGTGGTGCTAATCTGTCTGTATTATGACAAAACACATCTAGATGGACGACAGAAACAGACGACATATCCATTAGTGATTTCAATAGGTGACCATACAGATGACGCGACACTTCTTGCGTATCTTCCTGTCCTCCATCATCGCCCAGGAGACAAGGGATGGGGTTTGCAAAGCACCGCGTTCAGGCAACACAAAGTCGTCATATTGCACTCAGCATTGTCTGTGGTGTTGCAGGCTGCGAAGCATGCGTCGCATGATGGCATGGTTTATGATGATTCGCAGTGGGGAGAGGTAACAGTGCACCCTTTCCTGCTGAATTATATTAAAAACTACCCTGAGAGGTGTGTCATCGCAACGGTCAGATACGGTGTATGCGCGACGTGCACAGTGTCAAAATCTGATTTTGATGTCATTGCGGACTTCACTCACTGTCGTCGCTCACAAAGCATGGAACGTGCACTTCTGACGGAATTCCATTCGACAGACAACAACGATGTTCGTCGCATGAAGAAGACACAATTGTCGAACTTGAACATGCACACGCATGTGAAACATAACGGGCTGTGGGGATTTTATAGGGGTCTTGAAGACGATGATCCTATGTTCGACTACCACCTGGCTCTACAACCAGACCGCATGCACACCATCGAGCACGACATATTTTTGCACATGTTAGACGCTTTCAGAGCACCTGCCTTTGACAAGTTTAGCCACGTCCCACAAAGCCATGTGTTGAAGGAGTTGGATGCGAGGTTGCAGACGCTGAGCGAGAGAAGCAGTACTACGTATCCGCAACTTGTGCTACCTGTAGCAACAGGTAGCGACTACTTTTCACGGGAGGGGCGTTTCGAAGCTAAGCAGAACCGGTCGGTTATGACAGTATGCGTATTCATAGTGTCTAACATTATCCCTGGGTCGGTGGGGAAAAAAATAACATCTTGTTTCAAGAAACTGATGGAACTGTACATCTCAATGTTCCGGTGCAGAAAGCATTCAAGCCATTCGCTTGACACATGTAACAACTTTATTACGGACTTCATAACAACCTTCAAAAAGGTCATGGGCCATTATCAAACCTCCAACTGGAAACTGCCGAAGTTGCACGACCTGCTGCATTTGAGGGCGTGCATCGAACGTTCAGGTCTCCCAGACAGCTTCGCGGCCGATGTGTGGAAGCACCACCACCAGAAGTTTTGCAAACAACCATTCCTGTCGTCGAACAAGCGCAAAGCTTCGTGTCAAATGGTGAATCATGTGCAACGGACTGTCACATTCGACGACGACATTGAACGTGCACGGAAACAGAGGAAGAGGACAACTGACAATTGGTCGTCCGTCATGGAGTGTTCGGCAAGCGGAATGAACACACTTGCCGCACGCGACATGGCAAAGTTGCATCTTCGATTTTCCCCACGCGAGAATGCGGTATTCAATGGAAACGAACGTGCGACGGGAACCACCAAAGCGATATTGGATGCCCTCCCTTGCAAGGACTTGTTTCGAGAAGCTCTTCGCACATACATGTCGGAAAACGGGCGCAATCCACCGCATGAGGATATGTTAATACGCACAAGAATGCATCTTGCCATCGCAGTAACCGCCGATGTAACAACCAGGGGGGCACTTGTGCAAACTGCGAGGGCTTCACCCAACTTCCACGGGAGAGCGTGCACAGTGATGTTGCTGTGAGGGCACAGACAGGAAGTACGTGGTATGCATCAGTGGCAGTGTTTTTTGCCATGAACACCTGTACGGAAGAAGTGTCCATCACGTATGAGTGCGCCTTTGTAAAATGGTACAAAGAGGCTGACACTGAAAGAGTAGATGTGACAGGGTGCAAAAAATTGAAATGGGAAATGGTAAATGGTCGCCAGATGTGTAGCGTCATCTCCGTTGACAGCATCACGAACACTGTCCACGACATTGTTTCGCAGAACCACAGTGGGGTTCACTTATGGAAGACAACGCGATGACACGTTTTACTTGAACAGATTTGTATTGTAATATGTGGCCACACACACTCAACGGTGACTGCTCGATCCGGTTGGGTAGTGCGTGCCAATTTAAGAAACACCGCTCACGCACGACATCTTTATGGCCCCCACCACCTCTCTCTTTCTCTCTCTCTCTCTCTCTCTCTCTCTCTCTCTCTCTCTCTCTCTCCCCAAGCCCTATCATCGCGTGACCAAGGAACGACTACCGAAACTGACGCAAGAAAGCTCGTGAAAATGCTGATGGCTTGTTCACAGGTAGAATATCACACATTACGAGGAACAGTACTGAACGCTCAGCGCTGGCAGCAGACATGACCAGGAGGAGAGGGAAACGATCAAGAACAACACGAATGTGGACAACCGAAGAGAAAACAAATGTCGGAGATGACAGCGTGGCAGAGGTCACGATCGATAGCAATCAAGAGAAAACAATATCGACGAAGCAAGAGAACTCAGAACGAAGCAAAGTGCAAACGCAAAAGGTCGACAAGGGAGCGTCACACACCGAGAAGAGGCCACAAGCCACAACAAGAGAAGGCGAAGAAGCAACAGAGAGGACGGTGGCGAAGTGCACAATAGTGACAATGGAGGCTATGTTGGAGAGATGGGAGCACCTGTCACAAAAGGACTCGTGGTACAACAGAATGTACTTGGCAGCGACAAGGGGAACAATTCGGTCAGCGGATCTCGGACATGCAGAGTCAAGCGGGAAGACGACACAGACAAAGAAGGGTGAGAATGCATCAAGCTCGTCGGACAAGTTCGAGGTTGTTGACGAGACGAACAAATTTTAATAAAAGTAAAGATTAACTGGCACAACTCTACGCACACGAGTATGTGTCCAACCTATGAAGTATAGAACGTATATGACGACCTTCGATAGGATAGACAAATGAATTGTAGCAAACCAACGGTCACAAACACGGGTAATTTTTTATGTTCAGAAAACAAAAAAATGTCCTATGAACATAAGTTAAGTTCCTCTATAAATATCTTCAGTGTGCAAGTTGTATGCATTTTTTTAAACCAATAACTACGTCCGTCTCGTATACACAATATATTTTTATATGTCAATTGTAGTACACGTGACAATGCCTATCACCTCTTTGCGCTCTTCGACTACGTCTCCGAATACCCCAGAGAAAAAGTACGGTGCTAAGACGAAGTTCAAAGATACTCTTTTTAAGTTGGAAGTTAGTTGGTACATGTTTAAAGGTGTTGGGACACGTTGACATGAGTTCGATAAGCACTGACAAACTGATTACATAGTACAAATAAATACACCAATTGATTATAGAATACAAATAAACAAATTTTCAACACAAGAAAATATGACATGTACATATGTAAGGATATATTAAAGTCGTATCGACTCACGGTAAACGTTGAAAAACATAACTTTTTACCTTACATTTTTTTTGTTGGTATACCTGCGAGGTGTGACAAATTACAACAAGTGAGGATGAAGCGTTATACAACAATGTTCGGTCTGAGTAAAAGAAGCAGATAATTAGTTCTATGTACTTAAATATTAGTTGATGTCAAATTCATCCATAAATACAATGTCTTTGTCTCTCATTTCATCTCTCTCTCTCTCTCTCTCTCTCTCTCTCTCTCTCTCTCTCTCTCTCTCTCTCTCTCTCTAGCGAGTCTCGCTTTGTTTCCCGCTCCCAGCTGTAGGGCACTTTCAGTCGCATTGTCCTGTAGAGGGGGCCACATAATGACATTAAGGCACCGCTGTCATAAGAAGTGTCACCCACTACGCACCGCTGCCTACCACTGCCACAGTAACTCAGTTTCTCGTACGACACCCGTGCTAAATGCTTGAGCTTCACACTTCGAAACTCTCTCTCTCTCTCTCTCTCTCTCTCTCTCTCTCTCTCTCTCTCTCTC